ATATATATATATATACACACTGTATACTTAAAAATACCATCAAAAGGCACCAGACAACCATGGACATCCTGGAAATGGAGTTCTCAATTTTGCTCACATCTGGCTTGGTTTTCCAATTAGATAAAGATGTTTTGCTAGTCTTCAAAAATGGGTATTCCCCTTTGAAAATATGTGGTGTGAAGATGTTAAATGATTGATATTTGCCTTATTCACACCCTTCACCACTTTTCACATAATGCAGTGTGTGGATTCCCCTCCCTCTGATAACTGCCGTTGAAGACACTCTCATGAATGGCGAAATGTCAAAAACAACATCTCATAAAGATAATAAAAAAAAAAAAATAGACTTATCATTATGAAACCGTGTCCTACCTTTGGGATGTCTAAACATAGAGCTTTTATTGGACTTAGAGGCTTTGCTAGTTTTTTAAGTTTCAAGAGCTTCTTTGGGATCCACAAAGTACATGAAGTAATTTATTTATCGGTATTCCTAATATTTGATGGTCATTATGGTTAATCACGATTACTCTTAACAACTATTATATTTACAAATACATATATATTTACATATATACAAATACAATTTTATATTTTGTGAATGTCATCCTTTCGCAGGACCAGATCCACCTGTCAATCTGCATTACAATGTGACGACTGAAGGCGAAGTAATATTCAGATGGAGTGACACACAACCTGACAGTTATGCCATAAACTATGAGATCCGATACTCATCCAATTCCTCGCTTCAGGAGTGGGAGGTAATTTAACTCGTTTGTTGGTGTGATGAATGTGTTGTAATACCATTACAAAGTAATGTTTGTGAAAGTTACAGGCCCCTTGAGATTTCCACAGAATCAAAATTAAAGGGATTTAAATGTACCTTTCCCTTGCCAAAAAGAGCTACCTTTATCCAATGATCTCATTGCAGTTTGTAGGTATTTGTATCTAAAGTGTGATTTTAGCTCCACATATATTTTAGTATATTCGGACAGACAAAAATATACAATTTCGACATATTGACAGCATCTAAAATGTAAACCCTTTTGCATATGAACACTTTTTTTTTTTAGTTCCAACCATTCTCCAGGGGATTTTTATTGATTTGTACATCTCAAACTAAAAGGGTTTACAGAAATGTATAATATCAACATACAGTCGGTATGACGGTATATGTTTCATCATACTGTATATCCAAATGTACAAAGAATGTAAATGAATACTTTTTCAATAACGGTTAAATCACAATTAAATTAATCTAACATATTTAAATTAGCAAGTTTCTACAGATTTTCGCACACAACTGTTAAAGAAAATGTGAATAAAGGGTTTTAAAATTGACCTTAATAAAATATTTAGACTATTACTCACATCTTCTGTCAGTTATTTTTTTTACTATAATTTTTGTTGAATTTAATATGGCAAATGAATTTAACCTACACAGTGTGAATGAATCTGTTTGAACTATGGCTTTTTTAGATTGTGAAGGTCAAAGGTCGTTCCTGGGTGCCTCTGAATGATCTCAGTTCTGGGATCAGATACATGGTCCAAGTGCGCTGCCAAAGCCACTTCAACTACTGGAGTGAATGGAGCCAACCTTTCTATTTCACACTGGATGGTAAGGATCTGTAATACACATGCATTTTATGTACTAATTCTGTTCATGCTGTATGTGTGTACATTTAGGTAATGAATTAATTTAGTTCCAGAATCAAAGACCTCATCTCATTTAATGGCTCATCAGGTATGGTGAATAAGTAAATATATGCAAATACTGACATTTATGAAAGGGTACTCAAAATGTTGCTGCCTGGTATGTTCATGTTCCCATGACTTACAGCCTTCTGTTCTCAACAACAGAGTGCACAGGTCAACACATTTAACTTAACATCATTCCGTCTAAAAGCGGCTTTTAGTGTACATCAAACTTCATGCAAATGAGTGCTTATGCTGTTCCAGTTATATTTATCTTTCAGAGAGATCCATTGTCTTCCCTAAGCCTCCACTTTAAGAGTTTGACGTTTGATAATTACATTTATATATACTCTCTGCTACTCTGCATCTGTATAGTGTTTTGGCTTGTTGCTATGCACTCACAATATCACTTTGATTTGTCCTCTAAAAGATGCATCCAATTCACTGTTCATTTTCAGAATTAATTACAATGCTAAACAGTCAGTTTTCTAATGTTTTGCGAAAGCATTAATATGCCATTTGCTTGCAACCGAGGTTAGACATTGCATTTGCAACGTATATGGTATTTGCATACTTAATACTCTTAAACCAGATTTTCACTGTACAATAGAGGTTGCACACACATTTGCATATAATAATTTTTCATGACCATTATTACCAATTTAAAAATACAATAGAATATTTAGATTAATTCTTAGATGACAATAGGGTAATGTATTGTAAATGTTTACAAGGCCAGAGTATGTACTGTCCTTGAGTTCTTTTACCTTGTCATTGTTAGGTTTATTAGTAAATATGTTTTTGTTAAAAGCCTTCATAATTCAAATGGAACCCCAGTTTGCATATTAAAAGTCTTTTGCTTGGCACCATGTCAGTCTCAGGCCGATAAAAGATCTTTAAATTCATTGAAGTTGAATGTGAGCGCTGTACCTATAGCAGTTAATTAGGGTCAAATAGCTAAAATGATTCATACTGATTCAGACCGAAGTTTTAGAGAACATAAAATTATGTTTACATTAGATTCATCTGAACTGCTGTGGGTTTTTGTAAATTTGTCAGATGGCTTCCACATACTGGTAGCACACACATTGTATATGTGCACACATCCACCTTAGAGTGACTCAGTATTATGAAATAAATATTTTTGGTAACATGAATGAAGCAACTTCTTCTAAGAAAATTCTTACTTGAGATAAACTGTAACCTAAATACTGTCCCGTGGTAGAATAGAGCTTTATTTGTTATCTTAGCTGAATACTGACACTAATCAGGTGGGTGTTTTTTCTTTTTCTTTCTTCTCTTGCTTTTAAATGCCCACACCACAGCAGTGCCCATGAAAAAAAAAAATCAGTTGAGTTCCGTAGCCAGTCTGAAATACTGCTGCCAACTAATGCTGCACCTAGCATATTAGTTAATGTTTCAACTGTTTCAGCTTGATTTAGCATCACGAGAGACCTGATTCTGTCTCTGTTTTCCTACTTTGATGCAGTACTCATATAGCACCTGTGATTTTGTATGTGTTGTACGCAGATCATACATTGTTTTTTTTTTTGATCTGCCAGTTGGGTTGTATATTTTCCGAATCCATGCTGCGCAATTCACCATTGCAACTAAGCTTCAGGTTGTTCACTAGCATTAAAATAAACCCACTTTCTCTTTGCAGCAAAGGACCAAGGTTGGAACGAGGGACAATAAAAATCAATACGAGGGTGAATCTCAACAACTGTCAGAAACATGTCTAGGTCATATTTCATCCTAAAATTAAACAAAAATATTTTTTTGCATTGTAACATTATTTTCTTCAATTAAGCAAATATGTGTGTTGTTATTGTAATCCAGTATTTAGATTGGTAAATTATTATTATAAAATTTCAGATTTAAAGTTGTGTATTAGTAGTATTTGGTGTGCCTGTAATGCATGTACATTTTACTGCAGTAATTTCAGTACAGTACAATACAGTGCAAACTACTGTTTTACAGTGTTGAAAATCTAATGAAAATCATAATTAATAATAATAAGAATGAAAAGTGTAAATGTAAAGTAAAATGTTCAGCTGTATTGTCATAATTTTGGGAGAAATATGCTTAGTTTTTATGAAAATAATGTCATGATGGTATAAATCTTAATGGTACAAAAATAGGCAAAAACATAATTTCTTATGTTTTGGGATGAAAATGTATCGAGACATGTTGTCAAGAGATTCACCTACTTGCTGATATTCCACATGTTATTCTTAAGTCTGGTTTATTATCTTTCTCTGCTCCTCAAAGTCAGTTACATCCCTGCTGAAGTCTTCACGACACCAGGGTCAGAGGTAACGGTTTCTGCCGTCTTCCACAACCGAAGCTGGAGCGCGAGTAAAGCTGTGTGGATGCTTAATGGTCAAGTGAAGATTCCGGAAAGCCAGTACAGGGTGATCAACGAGCAGGTTAGCGCAGTCACTGTGACGGTAGATGAACCAGGGTTTGATACTCTGATGTGCTGCCACCAGTGGGGAGAAAGGTTCAAGTGCACCATCGCCTATGCCAAAATATACACAGAAGGTAAGCTATGAATTATGGAGGACATCTGTAACCAGACATTTAATAAAATGTTGATTTAAAAAAAAGCTAGAACATGTTAAATTGACTCTTTTTTCAGGGATGTTTAATGCAGATATTACCTGCCAGAGCAAGAATTCAGAGGTGGACACCATGAGCTGTGAGTGGAATAAGAGCGCTTGGGCACAAGTCACACTCCTTTACAGGTATGAACACAATCATAGTTCATCCATTTCTATTCCAGCCAGGTTGTTTATTGCAAAGATGGTAAAGATCTTACTTTTTGTTCTAGACAATATACATCAATGTGTGAGACCATATCAGAGATGGAGGGCAGCGAAGAAGCTGAAGAAAACATGTCTTTGGTAAAGGAGTGTCCATCTGGAGCAGGAGACCACAGAGAGTGCACTTTAAGAAACCTTAGCCTGTTCTCCTGCTACAAAATCTGGTTGGAAGTGGAAGGAGGGCATGGCAAAGTGAGATCATTTCCTGTCTATGTTGCACCCATTGACTATGGTGAGTTCCAAAGTTTTCCAGCAGCATTCCAAGGAAATCCAAAGTGCTAGTATTCTGTTGACTTTTAATTATAGACTGAATTGCTGACAAATTAGACTGGGATATATCAGTGAACGTTAAATATATCAATATAATAGTATATAATATTTTTAATTAAATATAAATACACTACCAGTCAAACGTTTTTGAACAGTAAGATTTGTAATGTTTTTTAAAGAATTCTCTTCTGCTCACCAAGCCTGAATTTATTTGGTCCAAAATACAGTAAAAGCAGTAATATTGAGAAATATTTTTACTATTTAAAATAACTGCTTTCTATTTGAATATATTTTAAAATGTAATTTATTACTGTGATTTCAAAGCTGATTTTTTTAGCATCATTACTCCAGTCTTCAGTGTCACATGATCCTTCAGAAATCATTCTAATATAATGAGTTGGTGCTCAAGTAGCATTTCTTATTACTGTTTTTTCACAGTTGAAGACAACTGTTCTGATTATTGTTTTTGTGGAATCCGTGATATATATATATATTTTTTTTCAGGATTCTTTTATGAATAGAAAGTTCAAAAGAACAGCATTTATTTGCATTGAATTTAGATTAATTGAATGTGTCCTTGCTGAATAATAGTATTAATTTCTTTAAAAAAAGTTTGTGTATATTATTGATCATATTGTGACATTTTTTCAAAGTAAAAAAACCTATGTTTTCTTGTGAAAAATGTTTACTTTTTGTGTCTCTTGTGATCAACCTTCTGTTATTTCCAGTTACTTGTGTCCATTCCTACTTGCCACTCTATTCACGTTGTAAACTGAGATGAATAAGAGTTTCCACTGTGTTTTTTCCTTCTTCAGTGAAACCATCTTCTCCCACAGTCCTGGAAGCAACCACTTTGCCGAATAAAACCCTGAGTGTAAGCTGGAGACGTCCACATTTACCTGTGTATGACATGCAGTACGAGCTGCGCTTTGTGGCTTTGCGTGGGATGGCAAATACACACTGGAAGGTAGGAAGAAGTTTCTGGAAGCTGGGGTCTCAGGTGGACAATGAAACCAGAAAGCTGAATAAAATATATTTGAGTAAATGCTTCATGCATAGTGTTTAATCACAGAGGGCAGGCAATGAATTACTGTGCTCTGATCTGTTTATCTGTATAATTGAGATGTTTGGAATTGAAATGACAAGCTAAATTATTCCTAAATTAAAATGTTAAATGTTCCTCTTACTGTGCCCACTAAACTCCATAGCACTTCATTTTCAATTGATCCCTTTTTAGATTTCAGAAGGAAGATGGTTACACTCTGCACTCAGGTATAAGGTCTGCAATTTTCTGTGGCATTTACAGATGAGTGTTATGTTCCTTACAGGTCATCGGCCCTCTTTTGGAATCACTGGCAGAGATTCAGCTTGAAGAGTCCTGTGTTCAGTTTAAAGTAGAAGTTCGCTGTAGAAGACTGAATGGCTCTGGATACTGGAGTGACTGGAGCATGAGTTACACTTCAGTTGTTTACAACAGGAAAGGTAATGTCATCAATATAGTTGTGCTACTATTACTTAGCCTATATAATACAGAAACCCTAAGAGGTATGCATTATTTTAACTTAATTCTCCTGATCTCAACCTAACAAAAGTTGTTTTCACTTGCTGTACAATAGCAAACCATTTAACCGCCACTATAAATACTACAAACACTACAAATACTATTACGTTAGATATTGCCAAGCAGTGTTGGTGATTAAACCCACAGTACTTTGTCAGTATATATGACAACAGCATAAAACAAAATCTAAATCAATGAAGACAGACCAAACTGGAACTGCTGAAAAGAATATGCAGGTGAAAAAAAAAATCCTTGCCAGCTGATTTAAAAAGCTAAAAACAATTAAAAAGATTAGACAAAAGAAACCATTCTTTCATCTTGGCCTTGAAAGCCCAGGTGATTTTTCATACTTATTCTGAACACACACCTGCTTCATAATATCCTTCTGTATGTCTATGAGTCATGATGAGTAACCTGATAGGAATGAAGTAGACAAAGTAATGTTTACAAGGATGTATTTTAGAGGGATGATGACAATTTTTTAATAATAAAAAAATGAACAAATTCTTTTTAAAACTTGCCCTAAAAAGTTATACATTTAATTCTATTAAACATACAGACATCCTAAATATGAGTTACTCAGTGACTAAATTAGTTCATATATAGCTTTTGGTGCAGCAAAGTTTAATTTGTCAGTGTGATTGTAATCATTTAAATGGCTCAGCGTCTATTAATTGACTTTGTCTCCATAGTGGCAATGTTTTGAATTGAACAAAATTACGGTTTGAAGTCTATTAGGATTAACGGAAATTGTACCACATATCACCCACCATGATTCCTAAACTTACGTATCACTATAGGAATGTGAACTGGAATGCAACTGCTGCGGTGAAGATCAGTATGTGCTTGCAACACCATTTGTCAGCTCTTTACAGCACCTTTCTAACATCTTTAGATTAGTGCAGAGCTGTCTGCTGGTGCCAGAGCTCATGCTTTTGAAGGAACTGTTGTTAGCAGATTGCCGTCAGCATTACAGGATATAATCAGAGTCTTTCTTGTCTGTTACAGTACGGAGTTGTAGGAATTTGCCTCTCTTAGCTGAGAGAAGACTTGACAAGATGTTTGTAGTCAGAAGTTGCAAATAACAGATAAGGGAGATGTATTACATTATATGGTGAGCTTTCTAGCAAAACAAAAATGTTGGAGTCATAGCCTTGTGTACAGCGCTCCATCATACTGTGCAACAGCGATTTGTCTGATCTAAGCTCAAGTCCCAACTTTTCCAGAACCCATTCCCCTCTCTCCAATCGAATTGTTTCCTGTCTTTCCACAACCATCCTATCTGAATAAAGGCAAAAAAAATATCTTGCTTATTGAAAAATGCTTACTTTCTAATTATTGTTACTCATCAAAAGACAACTGTTTTAAACTTAATGGAAAACTCCCTTTATTCGACTGCAACCATAGCCGTTCACAACAACATAACAATACCGGAAGCATCGATCTCTCCCCCATAAGAGTCCTTACTTCCTCACAGTACATTCAGAACCCTAGGCAGATAGCACAGAAATATTACATGTATACAAAAATCAGAATGTATAACCATGACTGAAACTTAACAGTTATGACATTTAATAAAACATTTAATAAAGTTTATTGTTTATATTAATATTTAGTTGATAATGTAGAACTTTTATATTTGAACATATACTGTATAAAAGTTTATATCCATTGTATGTGCATGCTAAAACAATGAATTTATATTAGTAATTTGCACCTATGATTAGATTTACTTTGTGGTGGACTAAAATATTTTTTATTGCATGAAGGGCAAGTCTAGTTTAGGTTTTGACCATTTCTCAATATTTTTTATTTTTTAAATGAACCTGCCTCATTAATTTTTCATTTTAAATGTCATTTTTGAGTCCAGCCTATGTACACTACCGAGTTTAGAGTCTGACTTTTTTTTTTTAATTCAGCAAGTTCAAATTAAATTGATCAAAAGTGACACTAAAGACTTTATACTGTTATGACGGATTTGCTGTTTCAGCTTTGCCATCACAGGAATAAATTACATTTTTAACAATATTTAAATTAAACTGTGATTTTAAATGGAATATTGTACAATATTGTTCTTTTAACTGTATTTTTGATCAAATAAATGCAGCCTTGATGAGCATACGAAACTTCTTTTAAACAAAAGCATTTAAAAGAATGTGTCCCTATATCCAAGCCTATATCCCTATACCTTTTTTAATATCCTTTTTGAACATAAGATGTAGTGTCCTGGAGATAATCATGACTGTATGGTGCATCATTTCAGCACCAGAGATGGGACCAGACTTCTGGCGCATCATACAAGAGGATCCTGTTAGGAGTCTGACAAATGTCACACTTATTATTAAGGTTGGTAAAGACTGACTTGATTGATTAACTCTAGCAACAAAATGAATGTGATATAAAAAGTTTGAGCTTGAATGTTTTTTGTCACTTTTAGCAGCCCGTCTTAGCAGGAGATCCATATAGTTGCGTGGAGGGTCTGGTGTTTGAACACCAGGCCTCAGGCAGAGCCGTGTGGTCAAATGAAACAACCTTGGTTCAGTTTCACTTATTCCAGTGGAGGAAGGAAGCGCACACGGTCACTGTAATGTCACGCAACGCTTTAGGCATCTCTACACGGAATAGAAACATCACGTTGTTGCATCAACCCAAACGTGAGCTGGCTTGCTTCATACCCTTCTTGTAACATCACGCAAAAATCTTTCATGTAGTCTAATATTTCATTTTTTTTGTTTGACACACAAGAAGATTTGTTTGCCTTCAAACTAAATATGTGTCTATGTATGTGCTTATTGCTGGTGTTTTATTTCATCCAGTCCTAATTTTTCTGGGTAATTGTTTTGATAGAAGCTTGGTGTTGTTTGTTTGGTGAAAGGGTTGCTGGGGAGAGAGATTTGATTTAGTTATTACATACATACAATGAAAGATAATCATAGCAATAAGGTACTCTGATATTTTGCTCCTGCTTGCTATTATTTACTTTTGCATCCTAAGTGTTTTTCACATAGAAATTATGTATAGTCCCCTATTTACATGAATGAATGTCCTTCTTTCCTTTTCTAGGACGTGTCGTACGTTCATTCAGCGTAGTTGCAAATGCTAGCTGTGTGTATCTTTCCTGGAGCCTGTTATCTGATCATCCAGTGCCTCAGTCATTTGTCATCGAATGGTTAGACCTGAACAAAGACCCTGAACAGGACATGTCTTTCACTGAGAGGCTGCAGTGGGTCAGAGTTCAGTCCACATCGAGAGATCTCTCCCTTTGCCGTATGTTATTTTGCTTGATATTCTTCATATATTCCTCACATTTGCATATCAGCATGTGATAAAAATAAAAAGTTTATCCTTAGCAGTATAAATGATCTTTGACAGCGTAATTTGTTTTTGTACAGGCCGTTTTTATGGCTCAGAGGAGTTCACCTTGTATCCAGTGTTTGTGGATGGTGAAGGGGAGCCGGTGCGATACACTGGTGGGTTTTACAGCAGTGACTTCAACTAATGCATTGACGTCATCATGTGATCAGTTAAACCCCTGAAGACATTTTTATGTGAATTTAGTGCTTGGCGAGTGGACTCTGGTTTGCAGTATTATCTAGACATTTTTTTCACAACTAAGAACACATTATATAAATAGCTCTCTAAAATTTTTAGAAAATGTATGACAATCATGTTGATTTGATAGAAAAAAAGTGTTTCTCTTTTGTTTTGCCATCCAGCTACTAGGGGCGACCCAGCAGCGTACATACTCCTACTGATCATTGCGTTCCTGTCAGTGGTGCTGTTTGTCACACTTCTGATGTCACAAAACCAGTAAGACCTACAACTATCTTCTTACAGTTAAAATAAGTAAGCAATAAGGTACGAGAGGCTGTGCTGTATTGTGAATATGTCGCGGCTGAAGGTCGTTGTTAGGCACAACACGAAGCGGAGTGCCTACAACCCCTTCAGCCGTCACTTCTTCACAATACAGCACGCCTTGAGTACCTTATTGCTTTTATAAAATGGTTACCACACAATAAAAAATATTAAAACCAAAAATGTATGTATTGATATGTTACTTTTTTTAAGTAAGTTCGTTAAATGCTGTCCTTCCGCCTAAAAAAAAAATTGTTCCTGACAGCAACAGTAAATGGCAAGAGAATGTTCCGATGCGACATGCCTTATCTTATGGAGCTCAAATACAAACAGAGCATAGGAACTGCTCTCTTCCACTGTCATTTTTTTAACACCGTATATGATATTTTCTCACACACATACATCTGCATCTCTCTCAGCATGAGAAAATGTTTCTTTGACAGGAAAGGGCGTGGTCTCAAAATGATGCAAAATAACGCCAGCAGGGGTCACTCATACTTCTTTAAATAAATAACAAACAGTTCATTTTGCTGAAATACATAATACATTGCATAGTTTTGACACTGTATTAATGATTGTTCATGTTGCTAAGCGTGTTGCGCAGTGATACACAGAATCGTTTGGTGAAGCAGTCATAGCCCTGCTTTATCGTGAATAAAACATAGCTGCTGACCAATCAGAATCAAGGACTGGAACTAACTGTTTTATAAAGATAATTACAGTATCATTATGTTTTGTCTGTGACCCCTAGAGGGCCCAGTGAGGTACTGCATGGGTCTGCTGACAGATTTTTGAAATTGATTGTGAAAGGATTAAAATAAGCATGAAACCAAAAATTTGTTAATGTTTAAAACTGTTCTTTAAAGCTAAATGGTTTGTTCACGTTTAAAATCACTTAAAGTAAAATTGTAACATGCAAATATATAACTCAATTATAAGTATTTTAATTGCTTTACAATGTAACTATCATGGCAAAATATGTAAATGCATAAATACAACAACATAACCATGTTATTATATCCCGGGCTTTAAAGGTGGGGTAAGCAATTTCTGGTAGCCAGTGTTGACATTTGAAATCACCAAAACAAACACGCCCCTACCCCAAAAGGGTTTCTCTATTTTGATAGCTTCGCCCCACACATACGTATGCAACCCAGGCAATGATTAGTTCTGTGAAACAAAAGCTAAACCAATGTTACACCGTGTCTACACCGGACACGCGTGGCGCGGCGTGACAAAATACTATAGAACACATAATCAGAGATGATGTCTACACCATAGATATATTGTATATACAGATCTATGGTCTACACTGGATATGGCACGACACGACATGACAAATCCCCGACAGAAAACTGCTGCTGCGTTCTATTTATGACGTCATGACACAAATTTCAAATGATTTTCAATCATCGCTTTGTCGCGTCCAGTGTACTAGACCAGGGGTTTTCAACCTGTGGGGGGGGGCGCGAGCATCAGTTAATTCAGAGACATTCCCTTGAGAATTTATGAATACGAGTTAACAAATCTTTAGCCATCCACTAGGGGGCAATCTGACTCCCACTGCTAGTCGACAGTTAGAGCAGAGTTGGCTCGAGTATCAGTCACGCTCAGTGTTGCCAAGTCCGCAGTTTTCCCGTAATTCAGGGGGACTACAGTAATACAGGGGGTGGGGGGGGCACGAGTGAAATTAGACAAACTTGGGGGGGGGCGCATGTCCTAAAAGGTTGAAAACCCCTGTACTACACAGACTTTAGCTGTTGCAGCGCAGACACGGTGTTACTCACCTATCGAGAAGAAACAAAGCAACATAATGCTTTGATGCTTGAGTTCTCTCCAGCGCTGGAAAGCTGATCCGACATTTACACGGGTCCTACTTCTTCTACACATCATGAGTAGACACGCCCCTTAATGCCGATTGGCTACAAGTTTGTTTTGCTACTTGGCAAGATCAGTTTTCTAAAGCGTTTTTGAAAAATCGCTTACCCCACTTTTAATGCTACACTCACTTTTATATACATAACTGGAGGTCCCTGCTCTACCAATCTATTTACCAATTTAGCTTTTTAACCAAAGCTAAAAAATGCCCTGAAGGAAAAATCCTTGGAAAACTGTCAAATCATATTCCAAAATCACAGTCCTTCTGTTTATCTGCCTGATTCCCCTTAATCTAGCAGAAGAACGTGTTTTTGGAAGCTACAATATATATTAATTTTGTAAGGCCAGTTGTTTGAATTAAAGTGAGGCACTGTAAGCTGATTTGCATGGGATTTATTTGGTTGTAATGAATGTCAGATATAAAATACATAAATTGCTTTACAGTATGTAATATACATAAATTGCAGTAATGCTCATTCTTAATGCTCGTTTGCTTGAGGGTAGATATTTCACAAGTTCTGCCAGAGATAATTACTAAGGTAACAAATACAATCATATTATTGCTTATCTGCTTAGATTTGTTTAGAGCTGCAAACGGCTTGCAAACGGGGCTTGACCTGTGCATATTTCTTACAGAATGAGAAAACTCATGTGGAAAGATGTTCCAAATCCCAACAAATGCTCCTGGGCAAAAGGAATGGACTTCAGGCAGGTCAGTGTGACCAACCATTAAAAAAAAACTCACATAAACATATTAGTGTGCAGTGACAGAAGATTAGACCATTTTTATGGCATTTAATCACATACATGATAAATGGGTAAACAAATTATGCTGCATGTTAAGCTGGGAGGATTCAAGATTTTTATTTGTCACATACATGGTTATATAGAGAATATATGACCAGCAGTGAAATGTAAGTCCGGTCCGCTCCATGGACAGTGCAATTATTAAAGAATACAAACACAAGAAAATTATATATAAATATAGGTATGGAAAAAAGATAAAAAAAATAAGAATAAAATAAAATGCGCAGGACAGTATACTGTAGACTTAATAAATATTAAGATGAGCAGGAATGTACAAGAGAAGAATGTGCAAACAGGTTGTACAGGGTAGTTACATAGCAGCAATAGTAAAAAAAAGTAAATAAAAATATTACAGAAATTGCTGTGTGCAAGTGGCAATGTCAGTATATTAAGTGTCTTACTGATAATTAAGTGAAGTCATGTTGGTGTTAAGAGACTGAGTTTGAGTTTAGGAAAGAAAGAGTTTTAACATAATTCAATATATATATACTGTATATATTGAATTATGTTAAAACTCTTTCTCCTCTCAGCTTAACATGCAGCATAATTTTTTATACTCCTATTAATATATATATTAGTACATTTCCACAACATGTCTATTTCTTTGCAGATTGACACCATGGAGAACCTGTTCCCTCACTCAGAGGGTCTCACTGCCTGTCCACTGCTGCTGGTCTCTGAGAGCATCTGTGAGGTGGAAATCATCGAGAAACCTCATCCTGTCATGCTTGAACATGAAAAAGACAATGAAGTACTCATTTATAACTCTGGAGACAAAACAACTACCGATTCTGCCCTTCTAGCAGACTCCTCTGAACCTCTGTCTCTGGAGGCTTCCACTGCTGCTCCTACTCCAGAAACATCAGGCCAGTCCTCAGTGACGTACTCTACCGTTCTCCTCTCCGATCAGCCCAGTCTCCTTCGAAAGCAGCAGGAGAGTCTGAGCAGCTCCAGTGACGAAGGCAACTTCTCTGCCAACAACTCTGACATTTCTGGCTCTTTCCCTGGGGGACTCTGGGACTTGGAGAACCCTGTGTGCTCTGACAGCGCCAATCCCCGCCATTCCAGCTCCTACAACTCTGTGGAAGAGTTCTCAGAAACATCCGATCAAGATTATGAAGCATCAGAAAGCACAGGTGCAGCCAAAGACCTCTACTACCTCGAGGTGAACGAAGAGGAGGAGGAGGAAGATGAAGAGGAGATCGAGGAAACACAGGGTGAACGGGAAAAAAATGAAACAGTTATGAGGGTGGACGCCAGGCCTCTCCTGAAAGGCAAAGATTCCACAGCCATCGATTCCAATAATATATCTCACAGCATTCCTCTTTATCTGCCTCAGTTTCGGACTGAATGCATTAATCCACCCTGAAATAAGAACAACAGCACCACTTGGTGGTAATGCGGGATAATGTTTTTCTTCATTGGATGGAGGTCCACAAAATGCCTCAGTGGTTTTCCTCTAGGGCTGCACAATTTGAGATTTAAAAAAAAAAAAAAAATTCTGATAAAAAGTGCAAGTTCAATTAATTTTTTTTTAAAAGGGCCGGGCTGCATTATCTTTTTATGTGCCTGGAAAAAAAATCTAATTGCATTTTTTTTCTTTCCTGATAAAAACTTGTTAGTTAAAATATCACAATGAAATAATTTTTTTAGCTCCGGGTTTTCTGTGCTCGTTTGTATGGCTGCAGAATTTGTCCAAAAATGTCATTTATTACTCACCCTCATGTCGTTCCAAACCTGTAACCCGTTCATCTTTGGAACACATATTAAGATATTTTTGATGAAATCCGAGAGCTTTCTAAACCCTGCATAGACAGCAACGGAACTACCACGTTCAAGGCCCAGAAACGTAGTAAGGACATCGTTAAAATAGTCCATGTGACATCTGTGGTTCAGCATTCCTCTGCTTGCTAACAAGCGCATCCGGGTTCTACGTCAGCAGCACCACACGCATGTGTCGTACTCTCCTGAATGCGCTGATACAGAAGAGAAGAAATTGTTGAATTTTAACGTTGTACTTACTATGTTTCTGGGCCTTGAACGTAGTTCTGTTGCGGTCTGCAGGGTCAGAAAGCTCTCTGATTTCATCAAAAATATCTTAATTTGTGTTTTGAAGATGAACGAAGATCTTACAGGTTTGGAACGACATGAGGTTGAGAAATTAATGAAAGAATTTTCATTTTTGGGTGAAGTATCCATTTAACATTTTTATTATTATTATTGCTAAATGGAGATATTAGAATAACTAAAATACAGAATGGTTTATTTAAATAAAAATAAATACTATAATAATAATAATAATTTTATTTTAGATTACAACTGTAAATTTACAGTACTAACATTTCTTAGTGTCTTTATTCACTTAAACCATCAGCTGAAGGGAAATCTGCAGTGAGCCTTTAAAGCTTCTCTTTTGTTGACAACAGCTGGCTTCTCATTACAAGTTTGGTCAGATGGTTGGCACATGTTGCGTTTTTGCACAATGCACATTATAAGTGCTATAAGATGCAGAGATGAGTTTATGTGAAGCAGCATTTATTTTGAATCAAGTCACACATAAAAGAAAATAGTGCCGTGCTTCACCAGTGTATATTTTTATTTCAATCACAGCCTTCGCGACTTGATAATCACATAGCCATTTTGCTATTTAGTTTTATTTTGATTAATTGTGTAGCCCTACTTTTCACCCTCAACATTCGATTTGAAAAATCTTTTTCACAATTCTCCTTCCAATGACTCTTTAATGATCATTTGACTTGTCCCTAATATATTACACCTTTGAGGGTTTACAGTCAGATTCCCCAGGCTCAGTTGCTAAGGGCATCCAAGCACAGTTTAAACTCTGAATGTCTCAGTGATGGGTTGATGATCGGCCTGTCATTGCTGGAACTCGCTGCTTTCCACCTTCATCACATGGAACCTTTCGAAGCCTGAAGTAAAATCTTGTAAAGACCACACTAACTGGAATGAAGCGCTTTAGCAAGAAAGAGTCTGAAGAAGGAAGGACTTTATCATCTCTCTCAGTGTGATGGTCACAGTCACGGTTTAGTGGCTGTTTTTTTGCATTGTTTGTGCATTTTTAGGTGCTTCATCAAGTCCAGGTTATCATAAGTAAAGGGGCTTTTGAAGAGGCGTCCATCAAAATATCAGCTTTGTGAAGAAATAGCCTCATGTCTGCATTTACATTGGCCTTATTCATTCAATATGAATGTATATTTTGTCAGTGTGGTCTGGTGTTCTTTGGAAACTCAAATATTTTGAGTCTACAAAATGTCATCTATTTTCAGTGTATTTTTTGATGAAATGAGGGTTGAATGTAACTCAGTGAATAAAACTGGTTAAATATGTCAGAGTATCAGTAAGAATATCTGTACAGTATACAGTATTTCTTGTCTATTTTCCTGGTCAGAATAAACTATTTATTGCAGTTATGGCCAAATGTTTGTTCTTAAATTAGTTAGAACAATTATACATACTTTCTTTTAAGAAATATATATATATATACAGTGGTGTGAAAAAGTGTTGGCCCCCTTCCTGATTTCTTCTTTTTTTGCATATTTGTCACACTTTAATGTTTCAGATCATCTAACAAATTTAAATATTAGTCAAAGATAATACAAGTAAACACAACATGCAGTTTTTAAATGAAGGTTTTTATTATTAAGGAAATATCTTAAGTAGGACCTGCCTGACAAAGTGAAGTAGACCAAAAGGTCCTCAAAAGCTAGACATCATGCCGAGATCCAAAGAAATTCAGAAACAAATGAGAAAGAAAGTAATTGAGATCTATCAGTCTGGAAAAGGTTATAAAGCCATTTCTAAAGCTTTGGGACTCCAGCGAACTCTGGCCATCTGTTCGTGACCTCAAGCTGAAGTGAACTTGGGTTCTGCAGCAGGACAATGATCCAAAACACACCAGCAAGTCCCCCTCTGAATGGCTGAAGAAAAACAAAATGAAGACTTTGGAGTGGCCTAGTCAAAGTCCTGACCTGAATCCTATTGAGATGCTGTGGCATGACCTTAAAAAGGCGGTTCATGCTCGAAAACCCTCCAATGTGGCTGAATTACAACAATTCTGCATAGATGAGTGGACCAAAATTCCTCCACAGCGCTGTAACAGACTCAGTGCAAGTTATCGCAAATGCTTGATTGCAGTTGTTGCTGCTAAGGGTGGCCCAACCAGTTATTAGGTTTAGGGGGCAAACACTTTTTCACACAGGCCCATGTAGTTTTGGATTTTGTTTTCCCTTAATAATAAAAACCTTCATTTAAAAACTGCATGTTGTGTTATCTTTTACTAATATTTAAATTAGTTTGATGATCCGAAACATTAAAGTGTGACAAACATGCAAAAAAATAAGAAATCAAGAAGGGGGCCAACACTTTGTAAATGTAATGTAAATGCTGTTTGATAACGATGTCTAGCTAGCTCGCGTTAATTGCACATGTATTGAGTGAAAATAACGTATGCACGCGCAACATAATCGCGAATGCACACTGGAATCTAGAAATACACTTTTTGTATTGGTATTCTTATTCGAGAATGTTAGTTTATGGCTGAAAGCAAATGAGTCGCCCATTCATTGTGGGTAAAAAAGGAGACATAAGCCTAATGTAAGCCTCATTCGTTTTATATTTTTAAATGTATTCAGAACTTTAATTTTGATGTATACAATTTTTAATTCTACATGTAATTTCACGTGTTCGTTTGTTTTAATTTGGACGATTATATTTTGTCGTCAATGTGTATGTATGCATGTATATGTATTTATTTTCATAGAATAACAAAAGTAGTATTCTATTATTCAAAAACTTAAAAAAGAACCATTCATAGAACAGCTGGTCATCATGAAGAGAGCGTCAACAGATTTGATTTTGATTGGGCTTCTGTGGTTCTCCTGTGAATGGAGAGAAATTGCACTGCTTCTAGCTTTTCTAGCTGACCGAAAGATGGCACTGTAACACTGTTAAATGCCAACATACACCTTTCAGAGCAGTACTTGTCATATATTATATAATAATACATACAGTATAGCTATTTTGAAACATCTTGAATACTTATTCGTTCTTTCTAAATGTTTTATATGCCAGCCCACTGACCTCCTGCAGTTACTCCATGGGCCCCTGAAGGTGCCTATGTGCCTCACCTTACTTTTATGCAACAATTAATGTGATTAATTGTAATGTGCTATTTCCCAATCATATCTTTGAAACAAAAAAAATTCTCATGTCTGATACTGTACTTTATGACAACACTCCGTAATCTATATAAGACAGCTTTAACAATCTCACGAGAGACCGGTCAACTGGTCGTGAGCTCACTTATTCTTATATTTACGCTTACATTTACATTTAGTCATTTAGCTGACGCTTTTATCCAAAGCGACTTACAAATGAGGACAATATATTATTATATTATTATACAATTATATCCTGCTTATCCTGTTCAACTAATACACACACATGTGCTTTAAAGAATCCCTCAGCAGCATCAAATCCAATCCTTTAAAAGAAGTTTCTTATGTTCACCTAGGCCACATTTATTTGATCAAAAATACTATAAAACATAAGTATTGTGCAATATGGTACAATTTTAGATAACCAACAGATATGTACCTTAGCCCCTAAAAATAACCTTATGTCTCAAGATTTGGAAGTAAAAACTAGTGTTTAGACAAAAAGTTTCCTCCATAGATAACCCTGTGGTCACCTTTTATTACTGGTAGGCCTAAATGTGCCTCAGTGATTTGGGAATAATTCTCTTCTCAACCTTTATGGCCATTAACTCTAAAGCTTTCACAAAGCCGCATCAAATATGAGACACTAAGCAGCTCAGTGGAAAATCTGTGCGGGGTAGAGAGGACTAAATGGGTTGAAATGGAATCAGATTGTGCTGTGCTTGTACAGGTACCAGTAAGTGCCGCTATAAGTGGCTCTTTCATCCAGCGAACAGTCTGAAAATTGGACTCCTGCAGGAATCGGCATTTCATATGAGATATTCCATTAGGTTACATCTGATGGACCTCACTTAGACTGCACTGTAATGCTTTCATATTGAGAGCCTTTGATGCAAAGTGGTGATTCTAAGGTCATCATAAGTATTGTGGGTAGTAGAAGAAGTCATTATCTTCAGAAGCATGAACACTGGAATAGTAACAATAGATATTGGAAAGTTTACAGTAATGTGTGATAGGGACGAGAAAGAAAAGCATAAAGTTGATTTTATATTTTTCAAAGTATTTTATGTGTGTGTGAGAGAGAGCTGCTTGCTATACAGCAATGTGTTTGAGGAGCACTAGCAGAACAGAAATAGAAGGAAGAAATCATGGAACAAATCAGAAGGTTGAAAGATCGGTCAAGGTTATTTTCCTCAGGGCTGGGAAACATGTTACGTAACTTGACATATAGGAGCATGTTCGTGCTTAGCTTACAGTAATGGAAGGACAAGAAGACTGTCATTCATAGCGCATTCAAGTTTAAATGA